GCCCAACATATTCAGCCAAAACAGCCAGTGCATCCCCACTTCCTGATGCATAATTAACACATTTAACCTATTGTTGTTTACGATTTGCTTTTCACAGTGGGACAGTACGGGTCTCTTTCATATTCATACCCAGAATTTGCTGAAAATCTAGTTTTCGCTCACGGTGTCATGGCGACGATCGCCATTTACTCCCGTACGCCACGAACAGCAGCATACAAAGTAGTTGGCAACCTTTCAACAGCTAGATCTGCTCCCACCTCCTAGGCAACCTAGCTTTTACTCCTTAAAGCGCTTTATTCCACGCAGTTTGCGGCATAGCCCCGCCTACCACCAAAATTCGATATAGCCACACGGGTTGCCCGCGACAAAGCCATTTTGCTACAGCATCATCATCAAAAGCAAAAGTTACACCATCATCAGACACCATAACACTAGCGGGAACGAGATCCTCGTCCAAATCCCTTGCCGTCATCTGCCACCTGTTGATAAACCCGCTACTACCGTCCGCGCAGTATTCCCGTCGGATGCAACAAAATCTTCTAGGGCAGCAGATCTGAATTAGGGAAAGGCAAAACTTCGCTGTAAGTCCGCTGTGTCATTTGTACTTCGTAGTGCAGTAGTAGTATTATGCGTGTTTGCCCCTACCGCATATACAGTAACGCAGCTAGTTTGTTGGCTGGATGCGTTGCAGTAAACGTGACAGGCATTTCTCTCTAATTCACGCTACGTATATCCTACAACCTAAGACTTTTTCTCTAACAGCATCAGTCGAATTTTTCCTTTCTCAAGTTGAGGCTGTGCAGAACGCAATCTTTAGACATACGTTTCAATAGCTTCTCATAAACAAACCAGAGCAAGAGGGAAGGGTGAGAAAAAGGGGCAACAGGGAAAGAGAAACGTCAAAGGCAAAGAACAGGCGCGAACTCACAAGTTGGCCGCTGTCGCCTTCTGTTTCAGCCTAAGCCTCGATCCACATTTCAGCTGGTGTTGGTCCCCCCCAGAAAAAAACGGCCATGGCAGTCGATGTGCGACTACCTTAAATGTCCCGTGCTCTATAGTCATACTGTGTACTTTGCGTTACACAAGAGCGTCGCGGGGCAAGAAGAAGCGACGCTTTGCATTGTCCACAATAGCCTCATTCGTTGCAGCTGCCAAATAGACAGTCCCCGCAAGCCGTGACAGAGAGACGGTCGAGAAACGGGCAAGCCGACAATACACAGGGGGGAAGATTGGGACGGCCAGAAGCTCGGGTACACAAATATCCAATAGCTGTCAAAGCCGACAGAAAACAGGCAGCTGAAGCAGGCTGAGAGCGTGCCTTTTGCCACTGAAGGTTTCGAGCTGTGAATTGGTACTATTTCAACGTGTGTGCCAACGGCTATTTGTGTGAAAGCACTGAAACTTGAACGCTTCCAACAATTCTCGGACCAAAACGGGAGAGGAGTTCTTCGTTCTCCTTTAAATATGGCTATTATGTTTGGTACCTACCGGAGCTCTGTTCAGTCCCGGAACCGACAGATTGGCCTTTTATATGTGCAGGATATTGAGACAGACTTTGGGGGCTGTTTATGGTAACGAACAGCGTTTACCAGCTACTCCTGGCACTAGACAAAAGTTTGTTCTTTCCATAACGTCATAACGAACAACCAAGCGTCATTTTCTGACTTTGAGCGAAGATTAGCTGTTATTCAATCTTTCCGCCTTGGATAAATCCTAACCAAGATTAAAAATTTCCTTTGCCAACTTTCATGCGGCCTTCGGGAAATCCGAGGAAGACTTTTATGATGCAAATGAAGAACTCAGTGTAGATTCAAAAATAGCTCAACAAGTTGTTTCCGATGTAAGTGGCCTGTTTATATAGAAAGCAACTGTTGTTTTAAAAAGCACAATATAGACTTTTTGAATTTTTTGGCTGTTCTAGATTGTTACATATTTGAAAATTCTTTGCATGTGATGTATTTGAGCGAGTCTTCGCCTACCGATATCGATTGGCGCTCGATTACTCTTGACGACTTATCTACGGATAAAAGACTAATTTACAGTTTAACTTTCGCATTGAAACCGTAATCGCTGCACATAATAGTCATACTAAATAAACACAATTATTAAAAATTACATTTCTACTATATACAAATTTTTTGTTGAATCGATTGTTTGTACGTAAAAACGAAGTATGAAAAACAGTTGTGTTTTAGACGCTGTATTCTGTGCCTATAGAAAATCGTGGAATAGGTAGTGGCGTTTTTTTAACCTTCCACGGTGAATGGCCAATTATCGCTGGGGAAAGATCATACACAGTCAGTGCCGTAGGGTTCAAGCGCGGTTTGCGAATGCATCTAAATCGAATGCCTGCTAGCAGTACAGAAAGGAGATACAAAGAGAATTGCTATTAATGTATGCAGGACATAGGATGAATCAACAACTTCTGTAGATTCGGGTTGTTGAAAAAGTACCTTAACAGTTAAACAGTTAACAGAAAATTATCGATAGTTTCTTTCGCAGTAAAGTATCATTTGAACAACTACATATATATTCGTAACCTTCTCATTATATTGGGCCATAATTAAATGTGTGTATCCCGCACGCGCTAGCTTAACGAATGTCTCCTAACGATGCCCCCGTATGTATGCTTACGAAAATCTGCTGTTTTTAATTAACGATAATTTGATAAATGCTCCGATGACACATTATACTTATCCTACGATATTTACGTGCTGTAAATTAGCTCGATATAACCGGTTCTAATATATATAAGATATAACCGGTAATAATATAGTTCTGTTTGATGAAATTTTAAGACGATATGTCATCAATACTTAGTGCAATACAAGATTTACTAAATAGTGGGTCGTACCGAGGGGTGATGGCAGTGTGTGAAAAAATTGACTCTTCGTCGCAAGGATTTTTCCGGACAGACATGACGTCGATATTTGACCGCATAAAAAAAACTGCATCTATTGGTTATTTTATTCAATTAGGCCCAAATTATAAGTTAAGGCATTTTTTCAAAGGAAAATCCTATAGCAAGCAATAATACCTCGAAACGTGTCGATGTATGTTCTTTCTATACCGTACAAGTTCCATATTCGCTTACTTATGCCGCCGATGATAAAAGTCTGTGTCACCACAAATCTTCATCTAGCATAATACCTCTCTTCGATGATACCACCCAACAAATTCTTGTTTGCCTTAATACGTTCTCCCGCTGCTTTTCCCTAACAGGTGCTCCATTCCTTTCCTTGTAAAAAAAAAAGCACGTCACTGTCACATTGAGTCACTGCCTTCACAGCAGCCCCTACATTATTTTCTGTTCGGCCCTGTTATATCTATACCAATATACATCAACCGCGCTTCCACCAGTCAGCGCCATTGTCAAGCGGCGTTAGCAATAGGGCTGCTAGAGGCAGTAGCTTGGCGCTCCCACGAGTCCCAACCACGCGAAATCTTCATGGTACAGGTTCTCCTTTGCCTCGGTCGCTTTGTTTCGCTGACCTTCGTCTCCACGACAAGAGAAATTGCCTTTTTTGCACAAGCTTACCAAGCAGCCAAGATGGCCTTCGCGTGTTTGCGGCGTCTTATCTCAGTTTCTACGATGGCTCTGTTTCCACTCGGGCTCCGGTAGGTCCACCACGCGTTATAGTCAACGTGGAATATTGAAGGGGAGAGGGGGAGGGAGAGAGAGAGAGAGAGATAGAGAGCCTGTGGGAAAAGTCTACAATAACGGTCGCCTTGCACCGGTATCTGTGTAGAAGAGCAAAATCATTTTCTGTCTTCAATGTAAAATCGCTCTAACGCTGTTAGAACTAGCTGGGCTATTGGCTACCTAGAGCGTTGTGCCTCCTTCGCGAAAGTATCGTTTATTCACAGCGACGGACCGCAGGCACAAAGCTTCGCCACGAAAAAGGTGGAAAAAAATAGCACAGGTGGCTATTTTCACCAGAGGCATTGTAGCTACTTGAAGGTGGCATCGCTTGTTTACAGGGCGCTCTGTTGAAGATAAACTAACGGGAAATGAAATAATCTATGAGTTCTCTAGCGAAGAGATCAAGTAAAGAACTCGTCTACGTTGTTGTTATCACAAGCGAAACAGGCTATAATTATGAGTTAATAAGAAATAATAATTTGTCCCGTAAAATGTTGTCTATAGCTCGTTTCGGAAAAGACGCACAGAAGAATAGCTTGGAAGATTCTCTATTCTAGCAATAAAGACTTTTATTGGTTAAATATTCGGTATAAGAAAAAGTGAATATAGAAAATGGAGGATTATAGTTTGATGCTCAGCTATATTGGATAGACGATATCTAGTTGATACGATGAGGTAAGCTATTGATGTGCAAATATTTGTGTCTTTGTTTAAAGGTACCATAGATAAGAAGTTGAAATGTTTTTATCAATTTAAAAAAGTAATCCATATGCGGTAATGAAGTATGTTTTTTTCCACAAACCGTAAAACCTTATAATCGGATCAAATCAAAAAACTAAATACTACCTGTATACGCAAACAACTCTCACGAATGTCCATGTATTTCAATAGAGCAGAGAAGTCCAATGCCCTCGATTGGTACCTGCGTAGGTTTTTGCCCTTTAGTAACTTCCAAGTAGTTGCCAGAGGCCTAACGTCTAACCGACAATCGACAAAGACCCGTGAGTGAGAACACGCAATTGTCTTTAGTAGCTATAAAAGCACTTTGTTTTTAGAAGCTGACGTGTATATCTCTTCGTACAAAGGCCGGATCTCACATCTAAGTATCCTTCACGCTAGTATAGAGCATAAGGGTGCTTTTTCAGCTTCTGCGCCATTAATTAAATGTACACCCGTTTCAAATCGGATCTATTTGTTGAACAACATATTGCCACTTGTTTCATTCTAATAAAAACAGCGCGTGTTTATCGCAGATAAACTCTATGAATTTTATTGTTATTATGTTTTTATCGTCCAATGGGATCACGGCGTGGTGCACCAGAAGGCTGTACGCTTCGTAGCCTTTTACAATTTATCCATTATCACTGCCCAGTAATGAAATTCCCGTGCGCTTCATCTTGGCATCGCGTCATTTTTTGTAGATCGATGCTAAAACGACAGTTGGTCATTTACTTAATAGCATACACGTGTTAGCGAATCGCTTGATGCGTCAGATCATCTTAGATTATTTGCGACATTAAAGATAGATCATTTACCCCCCAATGGACGTTGATTATGGGTCCAAGAGGCGGCTGTTCGATAGAGAGTTTAGCACTTAACATTCATATAAGAGCATTACCGAACGGGGTATTAATAGGGTGGCAGTATTTTTAGAAATTAAAATTCTCGCAAGTGAAAAAAAAGGGCTGTGAATTAAAGGACCTATGATGAGGCATGAGCCTTCGGCTCAGCAATTCTTATTGTGTGGGTATCCACAAAGTAAAATAGATTCTTCAGTGTTAACGTATATATTGTTATATATTTATAAAACAATACTGCTAGCTGAGAAGGTTAATTAATAGTGTGTTGACGTTTCTCTACGTTTCTAGCGAGTTTTGCCTAATATGGCGGTGAAACTCTCGGCGTACCCGTATCGCCAAATAAAATGAACCGGCGATGAACCGGTCAGCTTGCTTTTACGGAACAATAAGATAGATACAATTAGTAGGTTTTTCAAAGCTTACAAAACATATCATCATCAATTGTGCCCTAGGCAGATTTTAATTATATTGTTTTATTCCAAAGCCTATTGCACTGATATTAACCTAACGCAAGCTCGTATTGCATCGTCGAGGGACTTGAGTACTAGTCGTCGATTTTTTAAACAGGCCTTATTTACCATCTACGATTTATCTGTCTACTTATTTCATATCTTATTATACTTCTTCATATCATACTTACTTCATATCCTTTCCTTACATTGTAGTTACTTGCTACTGCTTTATATTTTTGATTTATGCATTTGAAGATAGGCCAAATATGCTCCCCCTAAATCGGGCCACCTACAGGTTACTGGAACGCGTTCGCCATAGTTTACCCGTTTAGTTACAATAATTTTCAATGATAAAGGTAATTCAGAAGGTTGTCTTCAAATAGATGTCCGGGCCGTACTTCGTTCATCTTCCCTTGGCCTTTGACAGTTCCACGGACTTTACTACTTAGCTTATGTATGCCTTAATTTGCCCGCGTGCGGGCATCTTCAATAATGATCTATTAATTAACAATGAAGTTTACCACAACACCAAGCAGGTTCGTCATTGTGTATGATGTGACCATACCAAAAACTTGCACCGAACCTCCTCTGTTTTCCTTGGCCCGGTAGAATGCGCGGCGATCCTAACGCGTTTTGCTGCATGCGTCAATCGCAGGGATGAGAAGCTTCTTTCGCTTCGATATTCGTATGAACGATGGTCCAAAAGTGTTGAGCGGGTGGGAAACGTGTGCCTGCTAAACTTAACGATATATCAGATGGTCCAATCCAAGCGTGAACGCGGTTAGGTTTATTTCATGCTGGAAAAAGCCTAATGTATAAAGTAGTGCTTAACAACTGAACGGCATCCACAGTACCTTATCAGAGCAGATACTTCAGCGTGTAGCCCGCAAGCGATAACAGCAGCAGCTTTTTTTTTGTTCCAATAATATATCTATATTCTGTATTATACGTTTGCGACGGACTATCCACTGGTAGATACAAGCATGCACAAATGTCTCTGGACAAAAAACAAAAAAAAAAGCTGAATCTACCTCAACCCTGCCAGTGTGGTAACCCGATTTGGGGTCAAAAAGTTGACAAGCTGCGATATGAAATTAATGTTATATGGAAACAATATTCAGGATTCAACACGATTCAAGGATCTAATTTTTTTTTAAGCATGATTAACCTTTTTTTTTTTTGAGTAAGACGGTTCGTCTATTTGCTAGCTTTGATGCGATTTCTGAAAATTCTGAGGAAAACTTATGAAGCAGGCCGGAAGGTTCTCAATAAGGTTTACATTTGAAGGGCTTGAAGACTCATCAAAGTGACCAAAAGGCCGTCTTTGATATACCTAGATTTTTTCTCCAAGACTAAAAAGGTATCAGTTGTCCACTTAGTCATCCAGATAAGCTTTAGAAGATAAGTTTTTAAAGACTTTTGCGGCTTTTTAAATTTTTTTAGCCGTGTGAGGCCTTACACTTTACTTTGAAGTTGGCTCGTAGACAGCTCCTTTTTTTTTGCGCGTTCCACAATTTTTATGCTCTAGCCAACTTCCAATGAAGTCATGACGTTCCGAAGGACCAGTGAAGATTATGCTTAAATGTATCATACATGCAATTTTCAACTCGGTATTTATGAAATATTTCTCATTAAATTTATGAAAAATTTATTGTTGCGTTTGCGAACTGCGTTGCCATGATGGTACGTGCGAAAGCGTATGACGCCTAATCGGCACATCCTCAGCGTAACTTCGGTAGTTTCGTACCGAGCTCATTTTTTTTGTATCATGCTATTTAGCCATGCACTGATAATACATATTGTCCAAAAATACAAAAAATCACATATGGTGTAGCATTAGAGACCCATACCCGTATACATATAATATACTACCCCGTACACATATATAAAATATGTATTTATGAATAGATTTATTAAGTTTTTATCAGCGTATATCCGTGGTCGGCGCCGACTACGTATATGAACCGGGTGATAGAAAACGCGGGTGTGTCTCTATCAAAGACATTTTTTATCGCATAAACTGAGTCAATGTGAGGCCATCTCCGGTGGGAGTAGTCTTATAGCGTTACCAGATGCATACTTGTCTCTCGATCAATTACCTCGAAACTGCAAATAAACTATGAGGTACTCCAGATGCCCGAGGGTCGGCTAGAAACTAGAAAGCTCATTTAACTCGTTGAACGTGACTGGTTAGTCAGCTGATATTGAAAAGCTTGACAATTTCAAAGATTTTCTCGTGCCAGCCGTAGATCGCGTCCGGCTTATGAGAATTACTACTCTACCGTTCTGGTTATTCAGTTTTAGGCCAATCTTACCAGCAATTCTATTTTTGATAAAAGCCCAAGTTAAAATAGTACAGACTAATGTTTGAAGGTTCGACAATAGCCAGTTTACCGACTATCATAGGCCTGCGAATGTAACCACGGGTTCTCGTTTGTGTATAGTGCAGGGAAAACGTAAACGTCTAGAAAGCACACGTGTGTATTCCTGCCATATTCGCCTCGGTAATTTGCGGAACGCCTGGTACTTTTACGTTTGGCGACTCTTCAACTATCTTGATAGCAAAAGTTTCTTGAAACTTTTGCTTCAGTCTGTCTACATAAAGCGTCGCTTCTGGAAGGGTGCATTCTAATTACTGTTATAGCAATATAGTTAATTATCACATGCTATTTAGCACTTTCAATTCTATAACAAGCGTTTTTCTCTATCAGCGTCTCGTAGTCAATATTTTACGGACGTTAGCATTGCAGAATGCCATATCTGAAAGATGAGGCAATTTCCTCCAGCCATTGTACAGATCCTATTTTACGCATAAACTTCGTTAACTCGTCAAATGGTTATAATTTAGGTTTCAGTATATTGCAACTGGGCACGAATCTACTAACCCGTAGTCACGTCACGGTAAAGCCACTTCGCTAAGAGTCCAAAAGGAAGTAGATTAGGGTTCCCAAACGCTGAAGCCAAGACGAGCTGTGGTGGTTGGGTCTATTCACTGTTACCTGACATGGAGCTTCTGACGCGTTCAGCTACTCTGGTTTTTGAGCATCCATCGACTATTTCCGCATACAATTTTAGCCTTTTTCTAACGTAGCGTATTTCCCTTTAATGATTATCATAGGGACGGTAAAGGAAACATCAGTTATGTTCCATCTTCCGCTTATCGTTATGTATATAGCGTATACTATTTGCTTGGCATACACGTTAGCGGACCGCGGTCCAGAGCCAATGCAGAACAGCTTGCCGGCTTGACTTCATACCATGCGAGATTCTTTTCGTTGGAAAAATCACGTTGGGCCGAATGCCATAATGGTCTATTTATAACAGCGACGACTTTCTATGTATTCGCCTCCCTGTGGTAAATTAATATAGAGATACTTTTTCTTACCGATATACACTGTGACTCAATATAATTTATTGTGTATATTTGTTTGTCGTACGCTCCCCTTGTCTGCCTCGAACTATAAAAGAGATTCTCTGCCAACAACCTACACAGCTTCACTAGGTAGGGAGAGATAAATAAAATGGGCTACACGGATCGATTCTTAGTCACCGTTGCAGTAGCTACCAGCCTGTAGTAAACCTCGCGATATGAGATAGTCCTATTTATGTAAACGCTGTCTATCACAGTCGATCGAAACAAACGACCCAATATCAAGCCATCGAAGTCAGCTAGTGCAACTACAGTAGCGTTTTGCCCATCCACCGTCGTCAGTCGCCCCTGTTCTCACAGTTGGACTTTGCTCACCCAGTATCTTAGCTCGGATTTTTTTTTTCGCATCAGCATTAGAGGCGTCGTATTAGGCGCCTCATGGTGACTTCGCACGTGAAGCAGACGTACCTACTAACCCATTGTTAACTATTGCTCAAGTTAACACAATTTGCACGCTAAGTATGTTACAAGTTTCATTGTCGATTATTATATTTCGATGATAATAGGCCTGCTCGATTCCGTTATAATCGTTTTATGCTTATGCTATTGTCTGTGTCTTATATAGAGTATTAAAGCATTGAGTCATTCCTAAAGTGTCAGCTCCCTACGCTTACGGGGGCTAGATCTTTTTAGATCGAGCATTGGGTCGAGCTCGATCAAATTGCGGGGGGGGGGGGGGGGTCCATATTAACACATGCATCAATAACTTCTCTCAGTATGCGGCACTCCTGAAACGCTCATTGCAAACAATTCATGCTACTGTTTCGCACTACAATAATGTATAAATGAAGAGGAGGAGAACAATTATCATCTACGTATCTTTACAGGGTGTTCGGGAACTCCTGAACATGACAAAGGTCCCGTGACCTTGTAAGCTATGCAGACATGCATACAAATAAAACGTGATTATTTAGAGATGGACCCGGTTCTGTGGGATTTAGTATTCTTTTAAATATTCCGAAAGCTTTTATAGTTCCACATTCGTTTTTTTAACTTGTTACAGATGTCTGCAAAGCGATCTTGCAAGTTTTTTGAACGCTATAGGTTTATGCGATTTCCCAATATGGCGCATCTGGTTAAGCCACATGCTGGATCTTATAATTATTCTAATTAATTGGCTGACAGGAGCAATCTGCGCCTATGGATTCTCACGACATAAAACGTTCACTAACGTCTTTGTTTCGAAGTAATGTTTTACTTGTCACAGAAGTTTATTTACCAAAAAAAATAGGTGATTATTTTTCCAGTTAGGGGAAGGCCAATTTTTTTTGTTGCATTGGTTTGTAATCGCATTTTAGATACCATCACATAGTCGGAAGGCCTTTCCCCAATGGGCGTTCATAGCAGTTTACCCAATGCTGCACTTATTTTAGGGACATCAACGAATTCTAGCCGCGCAAATGATAACAATTAATATGAATCTCTTTGAATTAGCTTATAACAGTAAAATTATTGTTTCAATATAAATTTTTGAGGACCCCATAAACTGCTATACAAGGAAGAGTTGGTTGGGGGTGTAAAATAATGTTGCTTTACCGTCTGGGGTGGCTGAGAGTTAAAATCAGTGGGATACACTGATATGATGGGGCTGAAACTCCTAGCCCTACTCGTTTAAAGCTCTATTACAAATTTTCAGTATCAACAAACTGGTGAATAAAGCAGTAAGGCTGACACCAATTGACTAAGGCGGAAACAAACTCTTCCCATAAAAAGGAAATACTCTGCAAACACGAAGATTACCCTCTCTAGCGTCATCAAATGGCTTTTGTTGCTGCACTATTGCAGCTCCGGCGATTAAACAGCGTAATTTTTTTGGAATACTTTGTCCGGTGCTGTCTTAGTTAAGGATCGCTCAGGCGGCTGACATTTTTTCGTATTCAAATTTCTAAATTTTATTCATTTCGCAAGGGCAAAACCAGGCCGACGACTACCTGTGGGTCCTGATTTCTCCTTCCGCAGCTCTGTTTCAGTGTGCGGTGCAGAGAACTGCTTTATATTCTGCATATTTATATATATATATATAATTCGCCTTCTATTTCCAAGAAGATCGACACTAAGTCTACGCAAATCGCTATTAATACGCTAGATGTGATGAGCGTAGAAGTTCCACGATAGTTGCAGTTGCGACGCACAGAACCGGAGACAAGCAATACGATCATTATCGTAGTACGACATGGCGCAATCGTGTTGCTAATGTTTCGGCTAGGGCCGCAAAGCACGCCGACTGGCAATACAACACGGGGTTAGCGTAAATGGTATTCCTCAGTAAACTTCTGATCTTTCCCTTAAACCAGTCCGCATAATACTGTTAAGCGAAGTTTTTCAAAAACTATCAAGTTATTATCGGCAGAGCCCAAGAATGATCATTGGGCGCTTCATGCGTGGAATGCGCTAAAGAAAAAATTTCGTAACGAAGCTTTTTATATTTTTTTTCTTTGGCGCATCAATCCAAAGGGTTCTAACACCCTCTTTCCAGAGATCCACAGTAAGTAAGTGATTAACCGAGGCGGTCAACAACATTCTCATTGATGCGAGTATATCTAGACGACGGCGAGGCAAAAACCAGGTGTGGTTTCTATTCAACCGTTACTGTTCCTTAGCTAAATATCAAGAAAACCATGAAATAATATGTCCTTGTCCACGTCTTTGAATTCGATCGATGAGATCAGGCTCGTGAGAAACCCATAGGTATGCTTTGATGATTTGAAACCCATCAACGTCCCGCTATTGTTAAACAATCCTCTTGGAGGCGTTGTGACATAAATATCAGAGTATGCCACAGCTCTGGCCACATACAGAAGCATCTAGCCTTAAAAAACAGTTCTACTGTCAGAAAACATTCATTTTGCAGTAAGATCCCGTGTTGAACTTGTGAACCGTTCAGCACGGGTTTGATCAAGTAAGACGTGAAGTCCACCTAATACAAACCTGACATTCGTCTTCATTGAGATTCACTCTAGTAACAAATATCTGCTTCAAACTGTGACTGTGCTTCGTTTAAGCCAATGTCCACGGTCAAACACGCAATTTATGTTCCATCTGTTTAAAGTACCGCACTCGTTATGTCCAACATAATAACGTTGCATCCGACGATAACTCCTAAATACTCAAGGAAATTCTACGTATGATGAACCATCCCGGATACGTCAAATATAATAACCGTACACGTTGAATATTGTAGAATATTTTATCAATTAGTTATTCACCGCTGGGGTTATACGGAAATCGTGCCGGAAACTTACCGCGCAACCAATACATATCGTCTACTGCATATAACCGTTCTCTCAAATGTTTATCACTTATTATTAAAACACGCGTGTTAAATTACTTGAGTTTTATTTTTCGAAACCTTTTCTCCGAAAGTTTTCCCCCTAGAGTTTTCTTAAGCAAAGAAAAATGTTCATTGCGGATTCAACCAATCCATCATGAGTAGACCTGTAAAGTGTAGGTGTGGGAGGACTGAAAACGATTGCTGTTACGTCACGACATCCTATAACAACGATAAGAACTACACGATTGAATTGAATTTATCTAGTTACATTACAATATATGTCCACTGCATAAACAACAGTCGAGACGATAAAATAGACTTTCCTCAAATAAATTTGTCAGTTTTTTTGTAGCCTGGTCTTCCGGCGTCCGATACTACCTCGTACATCATTCTTCAGTATTATTTTTTGCTACTGTAACTTTAAGGCATGTCGCAAGATAATGGAAAAGCCCGTCTTAATTTGCAAAAAGCGTTATCGCAGTATCTTCAAAAACATACATCAGCATAAACAACAATTCGCATGCTTCACTAATGTAGAGTACAGGCCTAGAAAGAAGGTACAGCCTTGTACAAATACAGGCGAAATCTTCAGTATGTTTCAATTAATAGAGAGAAACGATGCGAAAACGCAACCCGTGATGTTTTCACACTTCTGTAGGGTGTGGTAACTGAATAATGGCTGTTACATAATTTTCACCCCCCGGGGAAGCCATAGCGCTTTGTTAGTATTAAGCTTCCTCTTTCATTGGAGTTCGAAAGTTCCGACGAAGAATATAGGTATCATTATATTGCAGTAGTCATAATAGAAACAATGCCGAAATATTATGCATTTATCGTTGTTATCGAACCGCACCGTATATTATCCGTGTGCATGCTCTGGGAAATCAATTCCGAACTAGCCTCGAAGACTGCCTGTGATGACAACTGTGTACAGAGATCGGCATCGTAAATTTAAATAAAGTACCGCCAAAAAAAATGTACTGGTATATGTTTGGTAGCGTGAGTTACTATCGATCGTTGCCAAAAGATTGTCTGGAGCAATGTTGTGACACCTTACAATTGACGAAATATGGATGTACGATTTGTGAGGCCAGAGGGAGACCACCAAACAAGGACGAAGGAAGTTGTTGTGAGACATGTTTTTAATGAATTCAGGTTTTCGTGTTTTTACCATCTTTCGGGTCTGTTTTGAACGCACGTAGTTCCCTTGTCAGCACAACGGAACTGACATTCCCGGCAAGAATCGAACATGTTAAACGGACCGGGTCCGTGCTTGCAGCCACCATATATAAATCTTCGGCATTGGTTTAGAGTATGATTGTAGTACATCTTGATCCTAGCCACCCGACAGGAGCCTGTTCTGGGGCGCATTTCACAAATGTCCTCAGCTACGGTGAACCCCAATCCAGTCAGTTCCGAGACGCGTGAGCGGGATAGTGCAGCAACAATAATCGGGAACGGCAGGCACAACATGGGAAAAGTAAGTTCTAGTGTGCTCCAGGCATGTGCGTCTCCTCTGTCTCACCAGAAGAGCGAGCCAAACACATTTGACAAAGCCTTGCTTCAACGTGAAATGCTTCCTACGTAAAACTGATCGATCATGTACAAATTTTATAGCATTATGAGACTCACCTTAAATCTTGAAACAAAAACACCCACCATTAAATGAATCAGCACAATTACTACGCACAGGTTGACGATGACGCCCTTCCGTGGGCAGAAGTAAAAGGACGATTCCCAGAACTAATACGCTCACGTATGAGCTCATTGCTCTACCACTTCCCTTGTGACTATAGAACGATACTCTTTGGAGATCAGCTATAAGGTCCAACGATATTAGAGAGTGTGCTATATATAATTTGTTCTATAGCTGAACATAAAAACTTGAAAGTCGTTGGTATATTTGTATTAAACAGAAATGAAGCATAATTAAAGCAAATTGCCTTAGTATATCATAGTATTTATTATTATTATGTCACGATTGCGAAAGTGAACAATAGATAGCTATTAGGCTTAGCTGACACATAGTCAGTTTCTGTTGTGGGGCTTCGTGCGTCACAAATAGTAGGCAGCGACGAAGCCCACATTCGAGTAAACTCGTGAAAAGACTGAAGCATAGGTAGCGTTCTTTGTGAGGAACGGTGGCTGTATGAATCGTTACATCTGGCTAATTCCGTCGGCTAGCACGGAACGAAGTATCTACGCCCGGATTTCAACCAGGAGACTTGGACTATGGTCAGCTGTTCGTCCAGCTGGTAGTTGCCCGTTTGTGGAGAACGGGCGCTGGAGTCAGGAACGCGAGGGAAGAACGAGAAGACGGGTTTAAACAACGGATGGAAGGGCCTGTAGTTACTGACACACACGGTAGAGGAAAGCACAGCCACGCGGGAGGCCAGTGGACGCGGTATGGTGGTGGAGTGTTAAACAAGAGTATAAATAACAAACAGCTGTTGAATAAAGCCCTGTTGAAAGCTCCAGCTATTAATCAGTGTTTCGTCTCTCTAACATGAATTTTTTCGAGTACCGGATCTCGCATCGTTTAGGTTGTTGTGAGGCTGCAAGTGGTTATGACTTTCGGAAGTACCACGTGCGATACTAATACATATATATA